CGCGCCCTCCGACCCCGGCCCCGCGCGCATGCGCAGCGCTTGCGCGACGCGGCGCCCCGGGGCGTTGCTGGGAAACCTCCGCTGTCGGCTGCGGCGGGACCGGCAGGAATGGCGGCGTCGGCTCTGGCGCGGCTCGGAGCGGCCTTTGTACTCTTCGCGGCCCAGGTGAGGGCTGCGCTGGCCGTGACCTCCCCGCAGCTGTGCGTACTGGTCCCCAGCTTCCGGGTGACGCGTGGGACCCCGCCCTGCCCCGCGTGGGGACCAGCCTCCGGTATCCGCGACCCCACGAGCGGCGCGAGTCTGGCCGTGACCTTGCGGGCCTGTTCTTGGTTCCTCTTCCTCCTTTTCTCGCCGCGGGAGTCCTCCCCACATCCTACACGGTGGTCTCGGGGACCTCAGCCGTCGCCACGGATTTCCCTCCTGTGGCCTTGGGCAGGTGGCTGCCCCTCTCGCGCCTGTTTCGCTTTTTGGCAGAATGGGCGCAATGCAAGTGAGATCTCCACCCAGGGCTTGTCAGGGGGTGTATGCCCTGTTCCCCAAAACCTGGCGGCATTTAGGAGCAACCGAGAACCCAAACTTGAAATGGAGTTGAAGCCCCATCCCTTGTCTTCTGTTCTGTTGTGACCTTGGGCAAGGGGGATTCCGGCTTTGAGTCGCACTTGACCGTCTGCAAAAGGGGGCATACACGTTTAGTAGTTTTGGGGTCCTGGAGAGGATGTGGGGACCAAGGGTCTGTTAGCGAGAAGGGTGTTACAGTCTAGCACAGCCTGCGCGGTCCCCGGGGTGGCGTGTGCACGCTGTCCTAGCTTCAGCAGGTTTCCGGTTCTTCCTTCTCTCCTAGGTTCTGCAGCTCAGGAAGGAAGCCTCTTGAAGTCTACAAATGCAGCCCTTAACCTCAAATCTTCCTTACAGTTAGTTCTAGCGGGATGGAACCCAGAAACCTCACACTAAATTAGGTCTCAAGTCTTTTTTGAGGTAGGGTTTTACTAAACTTGCTCCAGCCGGGATCCAAATTTTCATCCTCCTGCCTTAGCCTCCCTGAGTGTGAGGATGACAGATGTGCGTACGGTATAATTCTTAAAGACATCTCTCCCACGCTACTCTCCTTGGCCTCCACTGTGCAGCCCTTCAACTTATCTTTATGGTAGTGCCCAGCAGCTGCTTGGTCTCCGTGTGCCCATTTTTGTCCCTCACCCATCCAGTGCATTCTCAGCCCTGCAGAAGTGCTGTTTTTCGAAGCTCATCAGGGCTTGTCACATCCAGCTGCTAGTGGTTCAGTGCTTTCCTGTCTTATTCCGGAAACCTCTGGGTGCCTGGGATGCTGCCTCCTGGATAGTGAGGTTCACTGAAGGCCCCTTGCCCTCCCTGCTCTTTTGTCACCCTGGAATGGCCCTGGTCTCCCTCCAGTCTTGGCTGTTCGCTACCCTTAGAGGCTGTCTGGGAAACCCCTCTGCTCCCCGGCTGCTTCTCCAGCCCCTGGACTTCCCCAAGTCTGCTCAGCTAGGGGAGGGACTTTGCATTCTCTAGATAGTGACGCAGGGAAGTGAGAGAGATGGCTGTAGGATTGTGAGACAGCACAGAGATTGGGACTCAGTTTCTCTTTGAGGTTTTAAAAGTGGTGACATGGGTGTTCTGAAATGAGTGGGACTGCACCAGGTGGGCGTGGGAGAGGATCGGTGGTGTGAGCAGGAGCAGGCTCCGGGTGTGGGCTGGTGATCTTTGAGGGGATGGCGTGGAGAGTGGCTTAGTGCTTACAAGGAGAGCTTACCCTCCAGTCCTCACAGATGTCCCCATGAAGGAGGCCCTTACACTGAAGTGGGAGGGAGGCCAGGGGGTTCTCCCCGAACCAGAGGGTAGAGGAGGGAGCCCGGGGAGCAGCTCTGCACAGGGGGAAAGGGTGGAGCAGGGCTGTGGCCCAGGCTGGCTGGACAGGTCAAGCCAGGTGGCAGAAGCTCCGGACACTAGGAATTTTGGACTTCATCCTGGGCAGGCAGTTTGCGTTTCAGTCTGAGAGTGGAGCAGGGAAGCAGCTTCCAACTCTCTCTGGAATCTATTATAAAAACTGGGGATGGGGTAGGGGACTGGAGGGAAGTAGGGTCCCAAAGAATGGGACCAGCTATTCTCTGGGGATTGGGCTACTTGGTGATAGTCCTAAACAAACTACTGTGTGGAGACCCAGAGCAGGAGATCTGGCTTCTGCTGCTGTACCCACCTCCTCATCACCACAGGACAGATGTGGGGCAAATTTGTCAGTGTACCTGTTAGTTGATCGAGACAGTATGGGTGCCCTGGGGTGCCCACCCTCTTCCCCAGGCAAGCAGCCTGGTCCTTGATGAAACTGGGGACCCTTTGGAAGGAGGCTGTTCCCCATGATGGTTTCAAGACCCCACTGACAGAGTGGCACACTGTTGTGGTTCTGAGGCTCAATTCTGCACAGGTGTCCCATCTACTTTATGATTGCGAAGCCCCAGAGGTGGCTTTGTCATCCACAGGCAGTAGTGTTGCGTAGCCCTCACTCCTGGGCTCCTACTTCTGAGCTAGGGACCTCCTTCCCGTTCCTTAGTGCTGCAGGAACAGATCCATGAAAAGGAGCAGGCACTTCCCTGGAGTCTGGTGAAAAAGCAGGGTTATTTTTTTAATGGAAAACCAGTTTTTCAGATTATGGGGAAAGAACATCAGTGAATGGGCTTTTGTGTCTTTAAGTGATCTTTTGAAGAGAAGTGGTTCTGTCTATTTCTGTTTCACACAAAAGGCATTTCAGTGACAGCCCAGTTCTTGGGACAGGGCTGGGCTGTGTCTTCTGAGAAGGCCAGATAACCAGTAGGCTCGGCTCTGGGCCCTGTGGTCCCTGCTACTGCCACTCCCTTGCTGGTGGGGACAGACATTGAATCTTCTGCTTAGGAGCAGATTTGGCCATGTTCCAGCACAACATACCAATAGACACAGTAGGTGGGTGGGGTTAGGTCTTCAGATTCCCCTGTGTGGCCCATACCCTGCCTCCCAGCAGGTGCCAGGGGTGCTAGACCTTGGGTGGGCCTGTCTGAAGGGCACACAGCTGGCTGGGCACCTTAGGCAGGCAGAGCAGTGGGGGTACCTGCAGGAGGAGGGAGCAAGTGACACTGGAGAGGTGCTTGGGCCAGAACAGGACCAAGAGGTGGGAGGGAAAAGTGTTAGCCAGGTGCTCTGGGCCTTCCAGGCTGCAATCCGAAGTGCTGGTGACAGTGGCCCCATTCATTTGCCCCAGCCTGGTGCGCAGGCCACAGCCAACACCCACAGGAGGCTCATAGGCTCATCATGTCTGGGAACAGAGAACCCTGAAACTGCAGCTGGTGGTAGACTCTGGCCTTTCAGAATGCAGCCCGTGTCGGCTCTGGACTGTGGGGACCAGGGCGCCATGGGCTTTTACACACTGCTACCCCGCGGTGGCCAGGGCCTCAAATAAGATGCTGTTAGGTTGAATGGGCACCCTTTCACTGTCCCAGCCTGGCATAGGGGGACAGGTGACTTGGTGTGACATCACGAACCCACACTGCTGGTCTCGATACCAAGGCGCAGGGTGGCATCCATCCATGTGTTGTCAGGCCAACGCCACTGCCTGCTTGTTTGTGTGCAGGTCCTCAGGGAATGCCTGGAGTGTGCTGTGGAGTTCAGCCCCATAGGAGGAGCAAATGGTGTAGATGGACTTTCTGCCTCCCAGAATGCCAAGGCAGAGGGCCGAGGTGCCTAGTACATTTGCCCTCTGCAGTTGGGAGTGGCCGGAACCCCTACCCCAAGGCTGAGGGTGTCCTTGTTGGGGTGTCAGGGCAGCTCTGCCTGAGGTGGTGGCAGCCAGGCCAGGCCCAGGCAGGAGGCAGGGCAAGCAAGTGGCTGGCTGCGTGTGAGGCAGTAGCAGCAGGAAGGGAGCCTGTGGTCCCATGCTGGGGTCTCCCTGTACCTGGGATGTCTCTGCCCTGGTGTGAACACATACTTGGTGGGTCCCCAGCTGTGCCAAGGGCCCTTGAAGCCCCCTTCCATCTCCCAGGTTCCTGCTGGGTCATCATGGAGGTACCCAGTCCAGCTGTCCCTGGCTGACCAGTGCCAGGTAGGGGCATGGGAAGGAACAGGAGCCAGGTAGCCTTGAGAGCCCTGCTGAGGCCAGCCAGTTGTGTCCCTTGTTGCTGCGAGGCCTCAGTCCCCCTGGGACAGAGATGGACCTCCCCCCGCCCCCGTGCATGGTGCCCCCAGCTCCTTTGGTTGGTATACTTCCTGCCCTGCTTGCTTGGGAGCTGATGGGGTACCAGACTAGATCTCCCTGATCTGCATTGACTCGGGCTGGTCATGTGACCAGCTGTAACCTCCCCCTGTGGTCAGACCTGCTGGACTGTGGGAACTTCACCTGCTCTTCCCACTTCACCCCAGGCCATGGGACTACTAGGGCAGGGGACAGAGCTTCAGGCACCCTGCAGGAGAACTCTTCCTAGGCACTTGGTTTTTTCCTGTTCCTGCTGACCCTAAAGGCCCCAAGCTTGAGCCATCCTGTCCTGAGTGACAGAACATGGCTGTGGTCCCACCCGCAGTCTCCTGATATGTCGAGGTGAGGATGCTATCCCCAGCCACCTCGTGAGCACAGACACCTGCCCTCAGGCATTGTGTATCACGTGGGGTCTGTCTGAGCGCCCTGTCTCTGCTGCAGGTGGCCTGTGAGTATGGCATGGTGCACGTGGTGTCTGAGACAGGCATCTCTAGAGGCAAAGACTACTGCATCCTGTACAACCCGCAGTGGGCCCACCTCCCACACGACCTGCGCAAGGCGGTGAGTTTCCCCAGGCTCTGGCCTGCAGGCGGCTGTGGTCAGAGGAGCCCCCCACCCCGGCATGCTCCAGGCCTGCTGCTGCCAGTACCATTTCTGCTGCTTTGTGACAGCATCTGCATTCCCGGGCAGTGACAGCAGAGGGCGGGGTCTGCGTGCAAGGAGATGCACACTCTGCTGGTCACCGCTGCCTCTCTGGGGTGCAGCCCCACTCCTCACCATGCCTGCCTGTCCCCTCATG